GTGCAGTCCCTAAGAAGGAAAGAGAGAAAGCCCCTTCAGTTAATAAGGCTAATAAGGCGGGGACATCGCCTTTAGTCAACCGCTTCCACAAACATGCAGGGGGGTGATTTTGTCTTCCTTCTGTGATTTTGTCTTCCTTCCACCTACCCACTTTGGGCCTCTGCCTGGCTCCTTTGCTTCCAACAGGGGTAAAAGGGATATTTTCAGAGCTGGGAAATCAGAGGCCTTTTCTATTTCCTATATCAACACCCTGCATGCTTGTAATCCTGAGCTATAACCCACAGCATCCAGTTTTGTCTGCTTCTGAGATTGGCCCTGTATTGGTTTACTACTGCTGCATAACAAATCACTCCAAGCTTAATGGCTTAAAACAACACACATAATCTCAGTTTCTGTGGGTTAGGCATCTAGGCACTGCTTAGCTGGCCCCCTGCTGAGGACTTCATAAGGCTGTAATCAAGCTGTTGTATGGGCTATGTTTTTATCTGGAGGCTCTGAGTCCTCTTCTAGGCTCACTGGTTGTTAGCAGAATTCGGTTTCCTGTGGTTGCAGAGCTGAGGGCTCCTAGAGACTGCCATCTTCTCTGCCACATGGTCCTCTCCACAACATGACAGTTTACTTCTTCAAGGCCAGTTGGAGGTGTCTGTTGCTGCTTTGATTCCCTCTGATTTTTAAGAAAGGGTCACCTGATTAGGTCAGGCCCACCTGAGATAATCTCTTAAATTTAAAGGAAGCTGTTAGGGAATTTAATAACATCTATAAAATCCCTTCATAAAAACACTTAGAAGGTGTATACCAGGGGGCAGGATCCTTGAGGCCACCTTAGAATTCTGTATACTATAAGCCCCTTGTTGAAAACTGCCTTGTCCATAATGACCCCTTTCTCTGAGAACTGTTTTGTCATCAACAGCCATCCTTGGTCTCTGATGATTGGATCCCAGATGGATCATAGTGAGACCTGCCCTTTGAGGCGGTAGGGGAAAGTTACAGTTCTTCACTTTTCCCCCATCATTCCTGTTTCTCCTTATATGTTTCCATACTTTTATTTAAAAGCATTTGACTCTCTTTGCATGTGAGCACCAATGTGGTTAATTTCATAGTTTGAAAAGATGGACGAATCCTTTTAGGGTTGTTTTGTACTTAAAAGAAGCAGTTTACTACCAAGTGGTGCCCCAGTAACACAGAGCATTAACATCCTCTGTCCAATGGACTGCAATCCTAGAAGTAGGTTATATACATCAGGAAAATCTAGTGTACTCTTGGAAGCAGCCCAAAGTGCTTTAAAGAAAGAGCTGAAGCGTATGTTGTGGCCTCTCTCAATTTTTCTTCAAGGTCCAGGTGACTGGCGCAATTTCTAGTCTAGTGGCTAGGAGTATTGGCTCTGGAGTCAGCCAACGTGTTTTGGCCCTGACTTCCCTACTTACTTGCTTATCCTAGGGCAAGTTTCCTTAATTTTCTGCCTCTGTTTCATGCCTATTGATTGGGGGTAATAATACTATCCTCACTAGATTATTTAATTAAATGAGATAACATACATAGAATTTAATTAACACCAGATAAGTGGTGGCCATATCTATTGGTTCATTGAGAAAGAGCTTTTCATTTTATAATGGGCTATCAGGAGTTGGAAGTTTTCTATGTTATTGCCAGTGTCAAATCAGAATGACTTTTTGTTTGTGAAGTTAATCTTGATAGGAGCTTTTATCTAAGGTATCACAGCCATGTGGCTGAATCAGTAACATACTTGTCTCATGTCAAAGTCATCTCTTTTCAGAGGAACGAAATTGTTGGTTCTTGAAAATGAGCCTGGGGTTCCTTTTATCCTTACACCTAGCTTTGGGATCCTTTTTAAAGAATATTGAGAATTCCTATTCCATGTTGTCAGGCAGAATTCCCAGGTATAAGAGAAGACTAGTTTTCATTCCTCCAAAAGGGGAAGGGTTGGATCCCCTACCGATGCCTGGATAAGTCACTGTTGTCCTGGAGGTTGTCTGAACTTGCCTATAGTCTACACCTTAGGTAAGGGAGCCCAAATAATTAATCATTCCCCGTTAATCAATATGATGGTTTTTCATTTGCTTTTTTGTTGAAAACTTCAAATGATCTTTGTGTGCTTGATCCTGTCTTAAGATATTTCTTAAGAGTGAAGGAAAGGTAACAATAGAAAAAAAAGTCTGTTCATCACCCAAGTAATGAACCTCAGGGGATACCAAAGGGACTTGATATAATGCCTGTTCCTAGGCACATAAGTGATAGGGGTCACCATGTTAGTATTAGCCCCACTCATCTGGAGAAAAATGATCTTCTGGTAAAACCATGCACAAGGGGCAGGGCGCACCTGAGTCCTTGCTTTGGGTTCTGGGGAAGAATCAATAGCCCTCTCTGCCACTCAGACGGAGTTTATTAGGAGACTTGTCCATGAGAGATAATATCTGTGTTGGGGTCACCAAGACCTACAGGCTCAATGTTTCACCAGGAAGATGTGCAGGACTCGGTGTAGTAGCACTTATGGTGATGATTTATTGCAGTGAGAGGATTCAAAGCCAAATCAGCAAAGAGAAAAGGCTAATGGGGCAACCAGTCCTGGGGAAGCCAGGTGCAATCTCCAAGGGTTCTCTGAAGCAGAGTCACACGGGATGTGTTTTAATTCCCCTGGTAATGAGTTATGACAGTGCATGTGAAAAATGCCAACTCTGGAAGCTCATTAGAGATTCAGCACCCAGGGTTTTTACTGGGTCATGTAGGCAGCCTCTGCTTGTCACATACCAAAATTCTAGACTCCAGAGAGAAAGCAGGTGTTCAGCATAAACCATTTTGTTTGTGGAAACAATTTAGGCATAATAAGCCACTCTTAGTTCTGAGGGTGGTGGGAACCTTCCTGAAGTCCAAGTTCCTGGACATCAGCCAAGGGCCAACCTTGCAAGCAGGTCTTGCAAAGGTTGGCAGTCAGGCTCACTGTGCTAACTCTTTCCCGCACTGTATTCCGTAGGCTGCCACCTCTGGACAACCATTTTCTGTAGTGTAAAACGGTAGTTCCATGCATTGTTCTCCCCATAGAATTCATGGACTCTGTCTTGTACTCATGCATATTAGAAAGTTGACTTCTTTTCTCTCTTAGTGATATCTCCAACAGATATAATTTGTGGCCTGTTTGTTCAGACAAGTAGACTACTCATTTGCACAGAGCCTGAGTCCTGGGTAGAATGTTATATAATGGCTGGTGGAGCTGGTCTCAGTAATTCAGTAGTAAAGAGGAATCTCATGTGAATTATCATCAAAGGGATTGTTCTTATTCCACAGGAATATGGAGATGATTTAGTAGTGATTAGTTTAAAAGAAATAATCTTTAATGGGCAAAACATTTTTCATTTTAGACCAGTGCCAATAGAACATTTTAGCTGTGATGGGCATGTTCACATTTTGTGCTGTCCAATATGGTAGCCACTGACCACACATGGCCATTGGTGATTTGAAATATGGCTAGTGTGACTGAAAAACTGAATTTTTAACTTTTTGAATTTAATTAATTTTAAATAGCCGTATGTGTCTGGCTAGTGGCTACTGTATTGGACAGTAGAGTTCTAGATTGTCAATTTTGTGATTAAATGGATGAATGATCTGTTGATGTAACAGATAAGAGGTGATCATGAAGATGATGGTCTTTCTCCAAAAAAATTCCCATATTTCCCCAAATCCTGCCTTTCCCCGCTGGGCTTAAATTCTTCTCCCCATGGTCCAGCCCTTTGTTCGGCAGCCTCAACATTCAAAGCAAGGATATTGTCCTCAAGTGTTTTCATGGCTTGAATAGCAATAATAGAATATCAGTAATCAATAAGAGGGACAGAGGTTTCTCACAGCATATCATGCTTCAATATTACAGGCTGGGTGGGGGCATTAGGAACTTTCAATTATAGATAGTCTGGTAAAACAAATTCCTTGTTATAGAGAAAACTTTAGAATAGCATTTGTTCTAATAGTAAGTGTGTGCCATAAAAATCGTATGTTATTATAAATGTTGTATTCTAGCTTCCCTGGGAAGCAGACTCAGATTTGTGTTCAAATGGTTTAAAAAAAAAACGGGATTGGGCAAAGGGGTAGGGTGAACTGGGATGCAGTTGCAGCTGATCCCATGGTGCACTCTGAAGTGGGATAGCTTTTCAAAGTTGTCCCAGATTGAGGCAGAAGGACCTGGCCTTTGCATCATAGCCAGTCACTGGATGCTGGCTGCAGCCCCTGATCTGGCCAAAGGCAATGCCCATAGAGGGACAAAGCCGTGAGCTTGCAGCAGACCACGCTCCCAGCTGCCCCAGAAATGAGCACAACAGCTGTATCACAGCATCTCTGGAATGGACTTAGTTTTCATTTGGAAGGGAAACCTGCCTGCTTTCCTTATGCTTTAAGGCTTTTGTAGGAGGCTGAACGATGTCATGGATCAAAAGCAGAGCTTGGGAATCAGTGCAAGTCCTGCACTCTGTGACCTCGGTCAAGTTACTTAGTTGCCTTAAGTCTCAATTTCTTCAACTAGAAATTGAGGATGATGCTACCCATTTGTAAGGATTGCTGTGGGAATGGAAAAGCACTCAAAATACGGTCACTGTTGTTATGATTCTAGAAATTTTATAAGACACAACTTTTGGGAGTAAGCATTTCCCACGGGGAGCACAGTGGAGTTGAGTGACAGTTTTTGGTAACAGAGGATGAAAAGGAGCTGTGCTTTAATATTCAATGCTGAGGTCCTCATGAACCTGCCTTCTGCTTCTCCTAGCTTTCCCCTCTGCTCTGGCAGAAGGGCCCAGAATTGGGATAAGCTAAGTTGAAAAATCCAACAATAGGAACAAGGCCACTACTGTTTCTGGATCCCGATGGGAGAAAGGCTACTTGGCGAGTTCTCAGTCTTTCGCTCGGGAGGAAACACAACCAGGACATTATATGAGGCTTGCTTGTGTATGTTGAGGTTAACAATGTACCCTTAGAGATTTCTTGAAATGCTTTCTCTGCAGGTACACTCCCCACTCAGTTCTAACTAATCGTGATGGCATGCGGCGTGGACCTAACCCTTTACCACTTTCAAGCTCTCCACAAGGATTAACTAATTAATTCATTTCATAAAAGGTGAGTCTTGGTGATCCAGCTCTCCATTCTCGGTGAGTTTGTTGTAGAGCCAGGGACACACTTTATTAACTGTGTTAACATACTTTTTCAAGCTGGAGTTCCAGATGTAGGAAGAAATAGCTGCAAAATCCAGCCCACATCAAGAGACCCCCAGTTGGAGGCTTCCTGCCTTTGCCTTTGTGACCTTCCTTTGATGACCTCTGCATCTGCTGTTCCCTACCCCCCACCCCAAGAGAGGGTATTGTGGTGCAAAGCAGAGCATCCCAGACTTGGATTTCACAAACTTGTAGATTTTAAAAAGAAAAATTTGTTTTCTAAGTGAGGACATAAAAAAAAGCCCCTACTATCTTTTGTCACCAACATCTCATAAAAAGGAAAATTTTAGCAGAACAAAATAAGGAAAGTAGTCTTGGGTTAAAGGACTGCTTTTAAAGTTGAGTACATTCAACTTAATGGAACTCTGCACTCTGTGTTTTTTCTTTTTGTCTCTAATAGGTGCAAACCTCTTCGTGGACTGGGCCTGGCTCCAGGGCTGGGAGTCAATCATCAGTGGATGTACACACCCTAGTTGTCCTCAGAGCCACTGAGCCCCAGGAGGGCAGTGGGCAGAGCTGTTTTTTTTTAATCACTATACACAGTACACATTGTCTTATATAAGACAATGCTTAGCACATTTTAGGGACTCTGTATATTTGTTGAATAAAGTAATGAATATGATTATCTAGTTGTGACCTTGGCCAAGTCACAGCATTGCTGAGGCTCAGATCTGTACAACTACATCTGTGTAATCCCATCTGTATGATTTGTACAACTGGAAAGTCGCACTGGATGCCTGCCAATCCTCTTCCATTTAACAAACAAAAACCAAAAGCTAAGACTGAAAAGGAATAGTAGAGTGCTTTCTGTTGCTTTCCCTCTTTAAAGCATAATTCAACTTTTTGGGCCATAATGACTTTTTCAGAGGTTTGTTGTAATGTTTTTCTCCTGAATGAAGGTGTTGATTCTTTACAGGTGAATCCTGCTTTATAAGGGACCCCAGGTGAGGAAGGGACCCCCGCACACTAAGTTTTTAATTTAAAAACGAAGTGTTGGAGGATGGGGAACCTTGCTATAGTTTTTATCTAAAGGCCTAGATAATAACTTTAAACCACTGTTCTCTGTTTTTTCTTTTCCTAGAGAGCATTTTTTTAAAAATAAAAAATATTAAACGCATTTTGTTATTATTATTGTTATTTTAAAGTGTCCCATGGTCACTGTGTATAACTGAGTTTAGAGGTCTGATAAATCTTTGATGAATAATACAACAGTCACCCTAGCTTATACATATTTCAAAGCCAGTAAATCCCAAGAGTGGCAGCAGGCAGAGGGTTGAATACACATTATGTCTCTCCTTCCACATTCCTACCCAAACCACTTTCTTTAGGGAAAAGCTTTTTGTCATGAGCAGCCAGAGATGAGGGATGAAGGAGAGATGGATTTTCATTAAGAATAGGGGCTTTGTATGAAATTTCTTCGTCTGTCTGAACATCTGATAGGAACAAGCCTTTGAAATGATCTCAGATTGGATTGTATATGCATTTTGATTTTGAATGATGCTGAGTTATGCAAACAGTTCCCTGAGTATGGCAAATGTTTAACTGAAAAAAGAATTCTTAAGACAACACATTAATATGGATTATCTGCTTCTTAAAACAATAACCATAGTCTGCACCCTGTGTGTTTCTTTGGGAATATGGAGGATTCATTTTTCAATTAGGCTATTTCATATCAATTTAAAGGTTTTTTTTTTCCCCAATTAAAATTTTATTGCATTGTTTCTAGTTCAAACATGGCTGATACTATTATTTGGTACAAGAAAAGTTAAACCGTATCACTAGATATGATCTCTTCAGCCTGTTGTTTCAAGTGGAGGTGATGTTTATTGAGACACTGATGAGTTGAGTGTATTTACAAAATGTGATATGTCACTTACAGTGCTATTTCTTTAAAATCGCGTCAGGCTTTCTGCCTGCTAAGAATGCTCAGGCTGTCCTCCTCAGGCTGTATTACCCTACTCCCAAGAGTAGTCTGGCTCTACCCTCTGTTGTCCTCACTTTGCTTGGTGCTAAACTACTCTTGGACATATTTTTCCAGAGTTGGGATGAGAACCCAAACTCTACTGATGTCCCATTATACCCTGGTCTGTGGGGGTGTTTGTGAATGGGAAGAGGTTGGGAAATCACACTGGTTTTCCTTTTCTCTCTGTTCAGTTCACCTCCCCCACTCACACCCTTCCCTCTGTTCTCTGAGGTTTATAAGATGGTTTGTGGAAGCAAATATGAAGACTGGGGTGTTTCCTGTTGTTGGAGGGGTGTTGTGGGTAACAGAGGAGCTCTGATTCCTTTCCCAAAGTTGGCCACACTGTTTGCTAGCTGTGTGGGTTCAAACGAATTACTTAGCTATTCTTAGGCTCAGTTTTATAATCTGTAAAATGGGGATAATCATATGTCATAAGATGAAGATTAGGTGAGATACTGTATATAAAGCATTTACTGTAGTGCTGGGCACATAGTTTCTTTATCACTTGTCTGTTTATTTCTATAATCTGGTATCTGAATTAAAAACAGAATCACCTGTGTTTTCACTGCTCTAAGAATATCCTTTTCTCACACATTAAAGCTAACTTTCAGCCTGCAGAGTGTGATTAACTGGATCTGAGGACCAGTGGGTCCACAGGCTGGAATGAAGAGAGCCTAGCACGAAGATGGAGTTTTAAAAATGTCCTCAGAGCACCTGGTTGGCTGAGTTGGTGGATTATGTGACTCTGGATCTCCATGTTGTGAGTTTGAGCTCCACATTAGGTGTAGAGATTACTTAAAAAGAAAATCTTTAAAAAAAAAAGTCCTTGTCTAGGTCACCCTAATTTCATTTAGAGATTGCTTAAGCAATCTGGGGCTTGGAGAAATCTCTTCTTTATGAAAGATTTCCATATTTGACCCACCCTAAAGTGGCAGGAATGTACCACGTTGTTTTTTTCCTTGCTGCTGTGAAGTGGAACACAGTGTTGAGCGGGAAGAGACCAAGAAAATAAGAGCTAGAAAATGCTATTCTCAGGCGCCTGGGTGGCTCAGTTGGTTAAGCGACTGCCTTCGGCTCAGGTCATGATCCTGGAGTCCCGGGATCGAGTCCCGCATCGGGCTCCCTGCTCGGCAGGGAGTCTGCTTCGTCCTCTGACCCTATCCCCTCTCATGTGTTCTCTCTCTCTCATTCTCTCTCTCAAATAAATAAATAAATAAAAAAGAAAATGCTATTCTCATCAGTGTATAGGCAGTTAGGTTTCTGGCATCCCAGCCCTGCCACCCCATTGCCTGCTTCTCACCTTCCTTCACCCTGTGTTCTTGCTGAGCCACAGAGAAAGTCCTGAAAGGGCTAATGCGTGTAGGTAAGAGAAATAACTGTAAAAAAAAAAAACAAAACCCCGAAAAACAAATCTAGCTCAAAGTCAAATATTAAGGCTGTGAAATAATTAATTGAAAGCTCTTTGGAATTCCTTTTAATGTTTTATGAAAAGAGATTGAAAGGCAAAATTTTCTTCACACATGACCACTTGGATATAGTATTTGTGTTTATTTTTGAACCCTCGCTGGCTATTATTATGCAGAACAAAATATCATAGTGTTAACCATATATCCCCAAATCTACACCTACTGTTTGGGTGGCTCCAGTTGGAAATGGAGCCTAGGCTTCTCTTAATCGTTCAGGAAGATACGGTGTTTTTAGTCACCAGGAATTTTAATAGGCTGGGTGGCTTAATGAGGGAAAATAGCTATTTGGTCTTCATGGTGTGCTGGGTGTTATCTTCTAGATGAAGTTATTTAGACAACCGTGTATTTTTTTCATGTAATGAACAACAATAACTACCAGTTTCAATGGCAAATATAATAATAGCTAATAGAGCTTACTTTGTGCCAGGCCTGTGCTAAGTGCTATATAATCCATTTATAATAATTCATTATAATATTGAATTTAATTTTTCCACTAACTACTTTTGTCCCCATTTCACAGAAGAGGACCCTTAGGCTTGGAGAGGCTAAGTAATTGACCCATTAAGATGCAGCCAGCAAAGGACAAAGATTTGAGCCTCAGCAGTCTGGTGTCAAGTCTGTGTTCTCTAACTGCTACTTAAGTTTCTAGGTGTTTGATGTAAGCTGAGTCTTTAATTAATTTTTCCTAAATTTGTTTGAATAACTTTTAGACCTGTAGCTAAATTTGACTGCATATTCCCTGATATTTTTCCAGTGTGCACCCCTCCCAGACTGAAAAGTTATTGTTATGGGTGGAAGGATGGGTCAATAGGGCACACCTCAGAGATACCTAACATTTGCTTCCAGACCCACCTCAGTAAAGTTAATATTGCAATAAAGTGAATCAAATGAATTTTTTGGTTTCCCAGTTGCAATATTGTGATTTATAAGAAATACATATTTAGTCATTCAGATGACCAAATTTTTCATTTGTATTTGGTCTTTGTCCAGGGTCCCTGGCTTATAGCTTCTAAAATCCCTTGAATTTCCTGTGATAAAGGTGTCTTTTGTTATGTTAACGAGGTAATTTGGGAACTGCCTTCAGGTAGCTAAGGATGGGGCTGGTTGCCTGGAGAACCAACCAGGTGCTTAGAGGGGTGGGACTGAAATTTCCTGAACTTCTAAAAGGGGAGAGGGGCCGAGGTTGAATTAGCCAAGATCAATGAGTTAGTCAATCAGGCCTGGGTTTGGAGAGCTTCTGGGTTGGTGAACACGTGGGGATGTTGGGAGAGTGTCGTGTCTGGAGAGGGCCTGGAAACTCTGCGCCCCTTCCCACACGCCTTCCCTGTGCATCTCTTCCATCTGGCTGTTCCTGAGTTACATCCTCTTATAATAAACTGGTGATGCAGTAAGTAAAATGTTTCTCTGAGTTCTGTGAGCTGCTCTAGTATGTTAATCGAACCTGAGGAGGAGGTCCAGAGAACCTCTGCCAGTGGGTCAGTAGTTCAAGTAACAATCGGACCAGCATCTGATGTCTGAAACCTAAGGAAGGGGTTATTGGCACCTCCAGTCTGTAGCCAGTTAGTCAGAAGCACAGGCAACAAATGGCCTGGGGCTTGTGACTGGCACCTGAAGTGAGAGGGTGGGGGACAGTCTTCTAGGACTGAACCCTTAACCCGTGTAATCTGATGCTATCTCTGGATAGATAGTTAGCTTTGGGTTGAATTCTCGGACACCCTGCTGGTGTCCAAGAATTCCCTGGTGTCATGTGTTGGGGGGACCCCACAACCCTGGCCCCCAAGTTGGAATTGAGTCCAGGAACCCTAGAAGACAAGTGCATATAAAAGTTATGTTTATGTTATATTGTAGTCTATTAAGTGTATACTAGTTTTATATATAAAAAACAATGTATATATCTTAATTTAAAAATATTTGATTGCTAAAATATGCTAACTATCAGCTGAGCTTTCAGCAAGTCATAATTTTTTTGCTGGTGGAGGGTTCTTGCCGCCATGTTGATAGTGACTGACTGGTCAGGGTGGTGGTTGCTGTGGGTTGGGGTGGCTGTGGCAAGTTCTTAAAATGAGACAACAATGAAGTTTGCTGCACTAACTGACTCTTCCTTTCATGAATGATTTCTCTGTAGCATGTGATGCTGTTTGATAGCACTTTACCAACGAAACTTCTTTCAGAATTGGTCAATCCATTCAAACCCTGCCACTGCTTTCCCAACTACGTTTTGGGAATATTCTAAATCACTTTACTGTCATTTTAACAATCTTTACAGCATCTTCACCAGGAGTAAATTCCATCTCAGGAATCCACTCTCTTTGCTCATCCATAAGAAGAAACTCTTCATCTGTGAAAATTCTATCATGAGTTCCCAACAATTTGGTCACATCCTCAGGCTCCACTTCTAATTCTAGTTCTCTTGCTGTTTCCACCACATCTGCAGTGACTTCCTCCACTAAAGCCTGGAGCCCCTCCAAGTCATCCATAAGTGTTGAAGTCAACTTCTTCCAAACTCCTGTTAATGTTGATATTTTGACCTCTTCTCATGGATCATGAAGTTCTTTTTTTTTGAAGATTTTATTTGTTTGACAGAGAGAGACACAGCGAGAGAGAGAACACAAGCAGAG